GAAAAAACTAACTAGTGTTGTTGGAGCCGCTGGTTAGACTTTACTCTAAAATGTACTTTATTCTTTCAGATCTTATCAACTAAACATGTTGCTTGCATCAACAGCAGGGTTCAATGTTCTTGAAAATCCACTTGGGAGAGAGAGCACAGGGAATCTGAGAGGACTTGTGTTAAACTCCTTCATTTGACCAGATTTAAAGAAAACAACCACCACCAAGGTTCACACCTGGAATATCAGAAATGTTGTTGTTTCCATGGTGGCTTGTGCACATACCTGAAGTCAATGAGGAAAAAATATCAAAAGCAAGCTTTTGGCAAACATCAAAACATTAGCAATCTAACAATTAGGGCCAGGCTAACAAGAGATCATTTTTTAAAAAAGAAGAATGTTACTTTTTCATTCCTTTCCTTCCCATCACTATTTATACTAAATTATCCATCCTTGTTGATACTGTAACAATATAACTTATAAAAATACTACATGCAACTCTATAACATGTAACCTCATAATTCATAAAATGTACCTAGAGGTACATGAATCAGTCACCTTTTTTTTTTTTAACTACAGTGGCCATTCTTCCATCTCTCTTTTTGTCTCTGTCTCTGTTTCTCTCACTCCTTCTTAACTGGTTTCCTTCCTGCCTTCCTTTTCTTCCCTCCCTCTCTCCCTCCTTTTCTTTTTTTTTGGGGGGGGGTCCTGTCGTGGGGCCTGAACTCTGGGCCTAGGCGCTGTCCCTCAGCTCTTCAGCTCAAGGCTAGCGCTCTACCACTTGAGCCACAGCGCCACTTCCAGCTTTTTTCTTTATATGGTGCTGAGGAATCCAACCCAGGGCCTCAGGCATGCAAGGCAAGCGCTCTGAGCCACCTTCCTAGCCCTTCTCCCTCCTTTTCTATCTCCTCTTTCCTCTCTCCTTTTTCTTTTCCCTTCTTTTCATTCCCTTCCCTTCCCTTCCCTTTCTCTCCCCCCCCTTTCTAAAATTCACCTATAGTGAAACTCACATTTTAGAATGCAGATGTCCAGGTAATAAACATGCCTCGCAAGCTATCAAATACTCCTACTACCCAGAAAAACTCTCCGATCCTTCCCCTATGAGTCCACCCTGGTTCTAACTTCTTGCGCCACAGAGTATTTTGCTGATTTAGAACCTTATATAAATGCAATAATTCAGTGTACAATCTTAACTTTTGTCTAGCTTTTTAACTCAGCATAATGGTTGTTTTGGTGTTTTTCTTTTGAGATTCATCCATGCTGTGGAAGGTATTATTATTTATATTTTCTCTCTCGTCTCTTTTTCCCTTACCACTTCTTTGAGATATGGCCTTTCTCTGTAGCCCATTGTCTTGAACTTACAATCTTCCTGCCTCTGCTTCCTAAGTAATAGCTTTATAAGTGGCCACATCTGGCTAATTTGTTCTGTAGCCTATTGAATAGACAGACCAATGTTGCCCCTCTCCTGTCCCCCTTCTTTCTTTATAGGTCCTCTGGCCTACTTCCATTTTGGCATTAAACATTTGTCCCAATCCTGGCACTGCTTTTGTCCACATAAAGAATTCAATTTGGATGCTGTTATCTTTGATAATCTATTTCTGCTGACATTTAAGAATTTCAAAAGCTTCCCTCCCTCCCTCTCTTCTCAAACTCTCATAAGCATCAGATGAAGAAAAGGTAATATTAAAGATGGGAAGGATGATTTATTCTTTGCATACAAGGCATGAAGGCACCCCCTAGGAAACAGTACCCTGACCAATCTCCCAATCTAATCTTGAAAAGCACTGGAAGGCTTGCAGGGGTGAAAAGTAAGCTCTAACTGAAGGCGTGACTTCAGTCTGTTAACTGTGTGTGTGTGTGTGTGTGTGTGTGTGTGCGCGCGTGCGCACGCGCGCACGCATACATATGTGTCAGTTCTGGGGCTTGAACTGTGGGCCTTGGACTCTCATCTTTTTCCACTCACTGCTGGTACTCTACCACTTGAGCCACACCCCCACTTTCAGCTTTTGACTGGTTAATATGAAATAAGACTCTGGAATATTTGTCTGCTGGGCTAGCTCTGAACCTCGATCCTCAGATGTCAGCCTGGGCAGCTAGGATTACAGGAGTGAACCAACTGCTCCTAGCTTGAGGTGGTAACTTTTACCAAGTGGATCTGGTGCATGTAAGTAGTATTAACAAATATGGTTCTCTCTGTAGGGCTTTGTCTTTTCATCAGTGTGTTGCAAATTCTTTTTAGTCCTGAACTCTCTCTGTTCATGTTCACTGACTCGGGGCAAATGTGGTGTGTGGCAAGAACTTGCCAGGGAATTACAAACCAGCCGGACAAAGGAGAATTACAGAGTAACCCAATACTGCTCTTCCTAACAAAATAAATACTTAGACATTTCAGATATACAGTTACTAACAATTCTGGCCCATGTCCCTGTAACACCAGAAGGACTTCAGTGTAAAAATGGTTTAATGTTCAATTTAGAGCTTCAATAAAAATGGCTTTTTCCTTTAATGCTCCTATTATCTTTTGTGCTGCCTACTCCTATCCAGAAGGTCTTCTAGAATTCTTTCCCTGTAACTGTCTTGATTGTGATTTTACTTACTACTTTAAGTAGAAAAGATAGAGTAAAAAATATGCCTTTGTCTAGAGCAAGAATTCCTTGAATGTATTTTGGGGGAAACCATGTGAAGAAGCTGGATGTGTTTACAACTTTGTGTTTAAAATAGGCTGGGACTGTGGCTCAGTGGTAGAGTGCTTACCTAGCATGAATGAAAACCTGGGTTCGAATCCTCAGTACCATATATACAGAAAAGCTGGCAGTGGCTCTGTGGCTCAGGTAGAGTGCTAGCCTTGAGCACAGAGAGGCTCAGGGACAGTGCCCAGGCTCTGAGTTCAAGCCCCAGGACTGGCAAAAAAAAAAAAAAAAAAACAACGCTACCCACAGTGTTAGCAAACATGATCTAGCTGCCATCATCAAGTACTACAGACTGGTTGGGGGAAATTTCTGGAAGTTCTGGAGACTAGAAGTCAAAAGTATGTGGAACTGGTTTCTTCAGGGCCTTCCTCCTAACTTGTCCTTGGTCCATTCTGCTGAGCCTTTGTATCGTCTCCACGCTATCCTGTATGTCCTAGTCTCTTCTTACAAGGGGGCAGTCACAAAGGGTTAGAACCTGCCTATCAAACCTGCCTATCTCTGCAATTCTCTCCAAATGCAGCCAATTCTTGGGTAATGGAGTTAGTTCTTCAGCATATGGGCAAGGAGACACAATTGGATCCATACTTCCTGTCTGCCTCCTTCACTGAGCTCTTTAAAAATATAGAGTATTTAGGGAAAGGACATAAGTGGAATCGTATCCTGCACAATACAAGACCATAGCTGTTAGAGGTGTTAAATTAGACACATCTTCAACTATTTTAAAGTCACTGTAGGCTATTTGTGACTATTTTATAGTCACAAATGGCTCGCAATTGTAATCCTAGCTTCTCAGGAGGCTGAGATCTAAGGATCATGATTCAACAACAGCCTGTGAAGAAGAGTTTGTGTGACAATTATCTCCAATTAACCAGTTAAAGCCAGAAATGGAGGTATAGCTCGAATGATAAGAGGGCCAGCCTTCAGTGCAAAAGCTAAGCCAGAGAACAAGGCCCTGAGTTCAAGTGTCAGTCACTGTGACGTGTAATCGCTAGTGAGAAAAGATGTTAGTGGTTACTGCTTTAGAGAGCAAGGGTTTGAAGAGAACGAGACAATATGCTGCATGTTGACCATCACATCTGCCATAATTCCACTATTTTTGTTTGTTTTGTTTTTTGTCAGTTGTGGGGCTTGAACTCAGGACCTGGGCACTGTCCTTGAGCCTCTTTGTGCTCAAGGCTAGCACTGTACCACTTGAGCCACAGCACCACAACAATTTAGAAATGTAAAAAAAAAAAAAAGGTCATCTAACGATGAATGGCTAAATTACAGATGTGAGGTGAACTTGGAGAAGAGAGAAGCTGAAACTCAAAACAAGTTAAGAAAAATATATTTTAAAAAACTATGGGAAGAGTGGGCTTTAAATTGGATATATTCTAGGGGACTTATTTCAAGAACAAAAAAAAAGCCAACAACAAAACAGATTATGGAATAATTAGAGGGCTCACCATGCTTGATCACATCTTTCTGAGTACACTGGGGTAGCCAAAGTTTTAGCATATGAAGAAAGAAAAGGATAAAAAGCAATTGGTATTGGTTTAACACAAGGGCTTCACTTATAACTCAGAGGTAGGACAAATTGTGCAGCAGGTGCAAGGCTCTAGATCTTATCACCAGCACCACAAAATACACTTCAAGAGAAAAGGTTTAACAGAAAATTTTATGGCAAATCTAAGAACCACAAAACATAGCTTGTAGAAGATAGAAAGGGAAGCACCTGGAATCATCACCAAAGTAAAGAACTTAAAGGCCATTATGGTGGCGAACTTTGTTTTCAAAGTATTATGCAATTCTTAGTTGATGTTGCAAACTCAGTATTTCAGATTTCGCCTAAGGCTAATCATGTCATCTCTCCAGTTGATTAATAATATTATATTAATAGCTACTTAAATCTTCCTCCTCCAAATGCTTATCTGTTCCTGCTCAGGCAGATACCTATGCTTAGCTTTCAACTTTCCTGGACAACCTGCTAAGGGTTTCTGCCCTGGGCTGACGAAAGAAAATCCCTACTGTCAACCAGAGCCCTAGTGTTAAGGACAGCCACGACAAACCGGAGCCAGGGAAAAGGGGTACAACCTTGGGTACAAATCAGATGGTTCCGCGCTCCAGCCCCCACCGCGCTCCACTTCGCCCTCCCGGAGCCGACCGACTCTGTGTAGTAACAAAAGTATCCACAGCTCGGCTGCGGCGCTGCTGATTGGAAGAGGCTGGGACATCGCGTGGGCTCAGCCAATCAGAGGCACTCCTGGCGCTCTGTTCCCTGCCCCTGACCTTCCAGCGCGCAGTCAGCTGCTGGCGGCCCCGGCGAACCGGCGTCTCCACGAGGCCGGGCGCGCACGGAGCATGTCCTCCCGGGGACAGCCGCAGTCCCCTGCCGCCGCCGACACGACCTGGCCCGTGGGGCTTCTCCGAGCTGCCCCCGAGCTGCTGCTGCAGTTGGACCCGAGCGGCGGCGCGCTGCTGCTGCTGTGCGGCCTGGTCGCGCTGCTGGGCTGGGGGTGGCTGCGATGGCACCGGGCGCGGGGCCTCCCTCCCGGGCCCACGCCCTGGCCCCTGGTGGGCAACTATGGGCCCGTGCTGCTGCCGCCCTTCTTCCGGCGAAACCGCTACGGCTGGCTGGCCGCCGGCGTGGACTCCAATGCTGCCTCGGGTCCCCAAGTGCTCCTGACCAAACTGACCCGCGTGTACGGCAACATCTTCAGCTTCTTCATCGGCCACTACCCGGTGGTGGTCCTCAACGACTTCCACAGCGTGCGCCAGGCGCTGGTGCAGCAGGCCGAGGTGTTCAGCGACCGCCCCAGGGTGCCGCTCATCTCCCTTGTCACCAAGGAGAAAGGTGAGCCAGGGGAGCCTTGGGTCGTGGTGGGCACGCGCATGCGCGCACGCACCCCCACCCCATTGGGGCTGCAGGTGCGCGCCTCACCCCTGCACCTGCGCGAAGGCGGAGGGTGGTACCTTGAAGATGCCACCCCAACACTGACTCAGGCCCGACTTTGAGACTCTTAAGAACCCCCCAGGAGTTGAGGGACCATAATAGGGGGTAAGGCAGAGGACCTCGGGGTGTCATACATCAGATGTCTCTCCTCCCAGATAAGGCCTCGCTCCTCAGTCTGTGATTCCCCACAGTCTCTAAACATACGGGCCCTGTTAGAAAGAGGGAAGTGTATTATGTACATCTGGTGAGTTTTGACCACAAGAGTTTAACAAGATATTTTGCCTCTTAAAAACAACACGCCTGAGGATGGTGGCTCATGCCGGTATCTCCTAGCTGCTCGAGGAGGCTGCGGTCTGAGGATGGGGTTCAAAAACAGCTCGGGCAGGAAAACTTGTGAGACTCACCTCCAGTTAACTTCCAAAAAGCTGGAAGTGGAGCTGTGGCTCACGTGGTAGAGTGCTAGCCTTGAGCAGAAAAAGCTAAAGGACTTTAAAAGGGGGGAGGGGAGGTTGGGAAGGTGGCTCAGTGGTACAATGCTTGCCTTGCATGCATGAGGCCCTGGGTTCAATTCCTCAGTACCATATAGGCAGAAAAAGCCAGAAGTGGCGCTATGACCCAAGTGGGTCATAGCGCTAGCCTTGAGCTGAAGAGCTTAGAGACTGCACCCAGGCCCAGCAAAAAAAAAAAAAAAAAAAAAAAGCCCCAGGCTCTGAGTTCAAGTACAGAACTGGCTGAGTTCTTGGCTGAGTTCTTGGCTGGGGTGTAACTCAGTGGTAAGTTAAGCACCTGGCCAAGAAATGAAAACACCTGGGAGCAGTCCTCAGTAGCATAAACAAAAAGATAGCTGGCACACTCAGTTTGAAGACAGCCCTCATAGGAAAATTCCTGAAACTCATATCTCCAATTAACCACCCAAAAGCAGGAAATGGAAGTGTGGCCTAAGTGATAGAGTGCCAGCTATGGATGAAAAACTAAAGGACAGCACCCAGGCCCTAAGTTCAAGACCCAGTACCTGTGTGCGTATGTGCATGTGTGTGTGTGTGTGTGTGTGTGTGCAAATCCCAACGAGCCACCCATAGCATTGTTACTGTTTATGAGAGCTGAAGTTGCACAATTTTGCAATTTGGAAAACATGCTGTCTGCTACCTGTGGAATACAACACTCCAATTATTCACCCCACCCCTCCCACACACAGACACACAGGTTTTATCAGGTTTATCAGGCTTCCACTTTATCTTACTGGCTGGTAGTTCCAAAACTTCTTTGAGTTGCTCATACCCATTACATAAATGTCGTTAAGTGGCTTTATCTCAGGAAGCTTGGGCTCACTGTCTCTCCAGATAGATTGGGTTTCCTTGTCAAATCAAATTTTGTTGCCCCTATGTTTCCCTCCATCAACTTAGAAAACCCAGGTTCTGTAACCTTGGGGCTGAATCTAGGCCATCAGCACTGAAGGACCATTACTGTGCCATTACTGCCTGGCCCAGGTAAGGAGCTCATTAAGTGTCTTTGAAGTGAATTGGTATTTCCTGCCCTTAGAACAGGGAATGAAGAGACTTGGGCTTTTGGGATTGGGATAAAGCCAGAGTGACCCTGCACACAGAGATTTTAAACAAGGAGTAGTGATCAGAATACCTTCAATGTGCCACTGGAAAACAAGTGGAAATTTACACCTCACCCTCTCCATCCCATCCCATGGGTTGCCCCTGCTTCTACTTGGTTCTCTTCAGGTGTCCTGGCTGCCAAGAGAGATAACCAGACACTGGAGCCAAAGGTATGCATGGCAGACAGGCAATCTCCTGGGATGTTATCCCAAGTCTAAGGCAGGCACAGGCATGCTGCAACTGTGCTCTGTGTGTCTACAGCAAGGAGGAAGGCTGAAAGGCATGAGTTTGGACAGTGTTAGAGATAGGATGGGAAGGAGACTTAGGATTTCTTTATGATGCAAGACACATAATGTAGAAACTACGTTTACCTAGAGCCTCATGGATAGCACAGAGCACCCACATTAGAGACCACGTGTAATAGACTATATCACAGCATTACTGCTGTGCAAATAAATATTGCTCACTATAAACTAGATCTTACTTCATGACCCTTAACTCAAATACTGTGGGTTCTTGATTTGCTTTTCCCCATGACCCTTGGATTCCCACGAAAGACACTTTGCCTTTCACTAAAGCTCAGATTTTCACTTACATTAAGGGACACCCACTTTTATCATGTTCTGTGGTCTCCACTGGTTTTCGGGAGGCAAATTTTCATAAAATTAAGAGCAGGGAAATACTTAGAAGATCACACAATGACAACAACACAAGACTGACCAAGAGTTTCTTCTCCATTGAGCTGTGAGGTGTGTGGGGGGGGGGGGATTTTACTTTTTTTTTGTTTCTGAAATGTTAATTTTTAAATTATTTTTTACTGTGCTTGGTCAAAATCTCCATGTATTAAAACTGAAAATAAAGTGGGCTTACTGTTCACATTTTTAATTATAAACTATTTGAAATGGAAATTCCTGCTTGGTTGTGGATAGCTCGTCGTTAAATTGCCCAGATCTTTAATCGTTCCCTCATTAGAGAAGGCTCAGTTCCTTGCCTTATCTAAACCTGACTTCTCCCTGCAGATAAATTCGAGCTTGTCAAACCATCCATTTTGACTTTGTCCAAGTGTTTTATTTGTCTAAAGTGTGTATTCACACACATCCTCTGCAAGGATGCATCCGTCCCAGTGTCCTCCATTCTGTGAGGTGCTCAGCTAGCCTGGGGCTCCCTGGCACCACTCTATACCTTCTGTACAATCCAACAGACAATGGTGTGGGGGTAACCCAGCTCCTCCCAAGACAGAAGAATCTAGAATTTCTTAAATCTTCTAGTACATGGGATACTCTAAATGTTAGAAAACTGATCAAAAGAGGGCATTTTGCTATTCAAAGTCTTTCCTAAATACAAATATGTACTTTAAAAGATAATGCATGGAGTGTGTAGAGCAAGGATCTAAGAAGGGAAAAAAATAGCTTTTCGAGAAATTAGACAAAGCAGAGGTGTCATAGGTGATACCGTAAGTAATAAAACGGCACTAAGAATTCATATCAATTTCTGAGGTTGGCGTGAAAGACAACATCTACTGTGGGGGAAAAAGAAGGAAGCCCAGTAATGGTTACCTTCTGAGTGACGAAGAAAGGACTAAGGAAGAGTAACTGAACTCCAATTGCCTAGGAAATTGTTTATAGGGATTTTTAAGCAAGAGGCTCATCTGATTTCAGGAACATAAACATTATTCCTGTTCCTTCTTTGTCTTGACTTTACACACTATAATTAGGAGTTTGAATCAACACATACTTATCATCCACAATGAAATAAAGAGATGGCTACAGTCCTGCACCACCCATCTGACCACAGAGAGGGGGTTAGAGGTGGCAGATGACTGAATAGAGCAGAGAAAGGCTACCCCTCTACATCTGCTGGGGGGTATCCACAGAGTGTGAGAGAACAATGTGCTCACCCTGCACACCTCAGGAAGGCTCAGCAGTGGAAGGTTTCAGTGGTCAGAGGAGACAGGAATGAGCTGGAATCAGGAGTGGAGCTGGGTGCTGGTGGCTCATGTCTATAATCCTAGCTATTCAAGAGGTTGAGATCTAACAATCATGATTTAAAGCCTTACTGGGCAAGAAAGACTATAAAACTCTTAATCTCCAACTAACCACCAGAAAACCAGATGTGGAGCTATAGATCAAAGTGGTAGAGCATTAGCCTTGAGCACAGAAGCTTAGACACCAATACCCAAGCCCTGAGTTCATGCCTCCTGACCGACAAAATAATTAAAAACAAAATAAGGGGTGGTGCAAAGTGGATATAAAATGTAGTTAAAGAAGTTCTTTAGGGCTGGGAAGGTGGCTCAGTGGTAGAGCGCTTGCCTTGCATGCCTGAGGCCCTGGGTTCGATTCCTCAGCACCACATAAGCAAAAAGGAAAGAGCCGGAAGTGGCGCTGTGGCTAAGTGGTATAGCGCTAGCCTTGAGCTGAGGAGCTGAGGGACAGTGCCCAGGCCCAGAGTTCAGGCCCCATGACCGGACCAAAAAAAAGAAGAAGAAGAAGTTCCTTAGACTACCCCAACTCCCAGAAAATAGAAAGTAAATGCTCTGGAGAATAATGTCTATTAGTGACCTCTTGGCTAGGGATATAGGATGAGAACAGATAATGTCATGGTGGGCATATGAAAAGCCTTCTGTGCAAAGATGGAATTCTTGAAGGGTTCATTCTGAATTGACAAACTCTAACTACTGGCAGAAGAAAACAAGACAATGTATGTTTTGGCCTGGAGCTAGCCAAGAAAATACTTCTCAACCTGGCCCTACCCAGTTCCACCTCAACAGGTTACAATGCTCCTTGACTTTATGGCACAAGAACTGCCAGACTATATGGAAACATTGTTTTTAAGTTAGAAAATCAATCAGTTTGTTAAAGCTTAAAAGGGTGACTTAAGAATTATTCTTTTCAGTGACTCAACTCTTCTGGTTTTTCCATTAGTATCTTTGTTTTGAAGTTGAAATTCTTGTATCTCCTGAGTGCAAGTCAAACCCACCATATGAGTATTTACACACTACCTCTAATTGAAAATTATTGAATACAAAAAGTAACCTTGAAAAAAAAAAGATTTATTCTTGATGGCCAAACAAGTCCAATGGCCCTGAAGAAGGAAGTTTTCAAATTCATCTATAAATCAATTGCAAGCCCTGTCAACATTTCAAAGGCTTTCTTATAGAGCATGACAAGCTAATATTAAAGGTTTATAAAACAGTGAATAGCCCAGAATAATGCAAAATAGTTGTGAAGAAGAAAGTTTGAGGAGAGGAGGCTTTCCTTTTAGACATTAAGACATTATGAAGACTAAATCATATAAAATAACTAATTATACAAATGAGCTTTAGCAAGTGCTGGTAGCTCTCACTTGAAGTCTAGCTACTCAGGAGGCTGAGATCTGAGGATAGCAGTTTGAAGCCAGCCTGGGCAGGAAAGTCTGTGAGAGTCATCTCTAGTAAACTCAGAAAGCCAGATGTGGGGTGGAGTGCCTGCCTAGCAAATGTGAAGCCCTGAGTTCAATTTCCAACACCACCAAAAAAGCACAAAAGGACATTTAAATGCACACTAATTTTGGGCACTGACACTTAACTGGTTTTCATTGTACTGGAAGTCACTATTAATAATATAACTATACCAAATCCTCTTCATTTAGTTGAAGTTGATTTCTGTTATTGAACCTAAAGTACCTTCCTAAGTAAACTTTCCTAACTGTTTTTTGTGACTGGTGGTCTTTACCTGAATAAATGCTCTTTACAAGAACCTTGAGAGTTGTGGCTGTGCCTCTTTGCTAATTGGGTGTATTCAGTGTGATCAGGCATTGTTCTCTCTCCTCCCTTTCCCCATGTCCTTTGCCAGGACTGGTGTTTGCACACTATGGTCCAGTCTGGAAACAGCAGAGAAAGTTTTCTCACTCAACTCTTCGCCATTTTGGTTTGGGGAAGCTTAGCTTGGAGCCCAAGATTATTGAGGAGTTCAAATACATAAAGGAGGAAATGCAGAAGTATGGAAAAGATCCCTTCAACCCTTTCCCCATTATCAACAGTGCTGTGTCTAATGTCATCTGTTCCTTGTGCTTTGGCCAACGCTTCGATTACAGCAATGGGGAATTTAAGAAGATGCTTAGTTTTATGTCTCGGGGATTAGAAATTTGTCTGAACAAACAGCTCCTCCTGGTCAACATATGCCCCTGGCTTTATTACCTTCCCTTCGGACTATTTAAAGAAGTGAGACAAATTGAAAAGGATATAACCAGCTTCCTTAAAAAAATCATCAAAGATCATCGAGAATCTCTGGACAATGAGACTCCTCAGGATTTCATAGACATGTACTTGCTCCAGGTGGAGGAGGAGAAGAAAAATAACAGCAACAGTAGTTTTAATGAAGATTACCTATTTTATATCATCAGCGATCTCTTCTTCGCTGGCACTGATACCACAACCAACTCTTTGCTTTGGTGCCTGCTGTACATGTCACTGAATCCCGATGTGCAAGGTAAATAATTCATCTGGTTTTCTGTGGGGGTGGGGGTGGGGGTGGCAGGCGCGTGTGCACGCCGGTACTAGAGCTTAAACTTGCCCTAGCAACTGTCCCTTACCTTTTCCATTTGAGCCACAACTCTACTTCCAGCTTTTAGTTCACTGGAGGTAAGAGTCTCATGGATTTTCCTGCTTGAACTGGATTTCATCCTCATGTGTAGTTAGGATTAACAAGTTGAGCTACTGAGCCCAGCTCATCTGCTCTTTATTCATGGCAAGCCCAAATGATTTAAATCAGGAATAATCTGTAACCTCTGTAATCTATTGTCTCTAAGCGCCAATGCCTCAAGACTGGAAAAAAAATTAAATACTTGCAATTCACAGGAAGTTGGTAAGATGTTAGCAGTGAAAACTCAGTATCTACATGGGAAAAGCTTGATCACTCTGATTTTCTCTCTATCTCATTCTGTGTGAAATCTTCAATGGTAGAAGATCTTTAGAGTTGGAGCAGAATATCTTAGAGCTCACCTGAATTGTAATATTCACATGAACCCATTTATCTTGTTTCAAAAGTGGAGAATGGAGGCCCACGCAGCTAGTTTTACTATGTCAATTCCAATAGATAGTGAATGTCACTGGTGGTAAATAATGGATAAATAAGAGGGAATAGTCATTTCTGTTGCTGCTATAATGAATTATACAAACATAATCCAAACCACACAGACTTGTGATCTCATAGTCCTATATATTAAGTCTGACACATGCCTCATTGGATAAAAAAACAAAATGCTGGCAGGGTTTGGTCCCTTTCAGGAGACCCAAGAGAATTCATTTCCTTGCTCTTTCCAGTCTCTTTGGCTTGTGACTCCCTTCCTCCAATGTTAGAGAGAACAGTCCTGGATCTAGCTATGCTTCTGTACTGTCATCTCTCTCTCAACTGGGAAAGGTTTCCTGATTTTAAAGTCATGAACAGGCATGCGTCCCTTCACCATGCAGATGTGCTCTGAGAAATGTGTTGTCAGGTGACTTCATCATTGTGTGGACATCACAGAGTATGCTTTGACTAAGATGACCACAGCCTCACTATAAACCACAGGGCATGACTCTCATGTCTGTGCTCTGTTGTTGGCTGCAGCATCATTAGGCAGCCCACAACTGCAAAACATCATCCAGCGCATTCTCCCCATCTCTTGGTCCTTCTTTGAATTAGACCAGCATAGTCCTTTACCATGTGCTATGGAGACTTCCAAAGAATCATGGGCTAGAAGTTTGGTTCTCAGTGTGATAGTGGAGGTGAAGTGGTTGATTTTTAAGAGGAGGCACAAGGTAGAGCAAGGTATCTCTACAGTGTTGTAGAGGATTCATGTTCTTAGAGGACCCCAGTTAGTTCCCACAATAGTGGGTTGTTATACAGAGAGCAAGCTGGGCCTATGCATCCTTCTGGCTTCCTGCTTGTGCTGTAATTGCCTGTTCCCACATGCATGCTGTGATCTGGCCAGAAGGGCCTTTGCCAGAGGATATTCAAATGCAGCTGCCGGGTTTCTTACTTTCAACCTCCAAAACTCTGAGCTGAACAGACCTCCTTCCTTTGTAACATATCCAACCACCTGCCATTTTCTTGAGGCAATGGAAAACGGAGTAGGAGACACCAGGTGAAGTGCCATATTTACAATGAAGTAGGAGATTAAGGTGTGGACATTTTGAAGGGGCCACTATTCTTCTTACTACAGACACAATTGGGCCTGCCTATAAAAACTTACCAAGTTACAAATTAACCCAACCTTTAGCATCTTTTCAAATAAAACCATTATTAGCTCAGATAGTTTCAAGAATCCAGGAGTGGCTTAACTTTGACAATTCTACTCTTGGGCTTCTCATGAAGTTGCAGCTTAGAGGTTATCGACTTAAGACTGCAGGATCTACCTCCAAGCTAGCTAGCCACATGACTACTGGTCCAAGGCCCCAATTCTTTACCTCTCTGACCTTCAAGAGGTAGAACAAGTCACACTGTAGAGGATTCATGTAGTACTCAGAGGATCCCAGTTAGTTCCCACAATAGTGGGTTGTTATAAGTAGAGCAAGCTTGGCCTTCTACTAGCCTGCTTCCAAGTCCCAGTATGGCTTAGCAAACCCTTCCTCTGTACCAGGCGTGCCCGACCAGTGCTGCAGTTCTCTGAGGCTGAATGAGGCTGAGCCAGGCTGCTACATCCTACCTATCCTTTTCATGGAAATGGTCAAGGGAAGTGGGTATAAGGTACATGTTCAACTCCAGCTTCTGGTTTATCTTTTTTCTGTTGTTTGTTTTCCGCACAGAGAAGGTTCATGAAGAAATTGAAAGGGTCATTGGTAGTGACCGAGCCCCCTCCCTCACTGACAAGATCCACATGCCCTACACTGAAGCCACCATCATGGAGGTGCAGAGGCTGACCGTGGTGGTGCCTTTCGCCATTCCTCACATGACCTCAGAGAAAACAGGCAAGTCTCCCTGCTCTGGAGGTGCCCCCAGTCTGTGCAGCTAAGCAGAGGCTATGACAGCCATTGAGTTAACACTGTCCTACATAGTGAAATGGCCAGTGAATGCTTCTACTCTCTCTCTCTCTTATTTTTTTTTTTGGTCAGTTATGGGGCTTGAACTCTGGGCCTGGGTGCTATCTCTGAGCTCTTCAGCTCAAAGCGAGTGCTCTACCTTGAGCCACAGCGCCACTTCCAGTTTTCTGGTGGTGAATTGGAGAGTCCCACGGACTTTCCTGCCCAGGCTGTTTGAACTGCAATCCTCAGATCTCAGCTTCCTGAGAAGCTAGGATTACAGGTGTGAGCCACTGACGCCTGGTTGAATGCTTCTACTCTTTTGTAGTGGGGCTAGCTTTCAAGCACTACCTTTTATTGATAGCTCTCTGTACTCCACAAGCATCCATGCTTAGACCAGCAAAACAAATAATGCCACGACTTAGATGAGCTGTGATGGCAGAAAAACAACAACAACAACAAAAAACACTACAGGATTCACAAAGTTGCCCTGTGTCCTCTTCGTGGAAGTCAGGAGAGCTAGTCTAATTGTGGAATGTTTAGTGGGAAATGATCCTAGTTCAATTTGTAAAAATCTATAACCACACATGAATTCACAATTTTAGAAGGGGCCTGTCTGATTTTTAGAGGTATCCCTGTCCATCTCTCCCTTTCAGTGAGACATACCCAAGTGGTCATGTCCACAGTGTCTTTTAAGCATCCTTACTAAGAAGAAATTAACCTTGTACCAGATGTGGTACAGATGTCCAATCCAAGCTCTCAGGAAGCTAAGTCAGGAGGACCTCAATTTTGAGAGCATTCTAGGGTACAGAAAGTTCTCTGTCTGTCTGTCTGTCTGTCTGTCTGTCTGTCTGTCTGTCTCACACACACACATACACACACACTTGTAATTTACCCTTTCTAGAGATTTCTGTACCTCCTCTTAATCTCAGTTTACCTTCTCATCCTATTGTTGTATACACAGAAAACTCTGTGAACCGTTTTATACAAATCATAGGAATTTATAATTCTTAGGAAAAATTTATCTGAAATGTCCCATTATTTCTTTTTTATATTAATAAGTATTTTAATTGTGAAAATACCATACAGAGGGGTTACAATTACATGAGCAAGGTAATGAGTGCATTTCTTATCAAGCATTGTTGCCTCCTCCTTTGTTTCCCCTTCCCATCCCTGCCCTCCCATGTTCCCCTCCGCCCCACTCCCGTCCTATTATTTCTTAGTGTTTCTTTTATTTAAAAATTATTATCCTTACATTGTTGTATAAGTGGGTTTCAATTAAACATGTCCGTTTATGAACACTATACATCTTGATCAATGTCACCCCTTACCCCTTTCATCATTCTCCTCCGTCTCTCCCAACCACCCCCCCGCAACTCCCTCAATTTTTCCAAGTTCCATTTTCACATATATACATCAAATTTTATGACTGCATTTAGTGTTGTCTCTTAATTGTACTGTTATTGTGATTTGAATGGCTTCATTAAATCAGTATCTATCAGAGCACTTTCCCTGCCCTGTGTCATGCTGGATTCTGCCACTAGACAGGTAGGATGGGATCTGATGATCAGATCTTGTCCCTGACTTCAGGGACCCCAGAGTTTAGTCTTGGCCAATTAAAATGCTAAATAAGTAGCTACGTGTTTGTTCTTCCAAATAGTAATGTTTAGGGAGAACTCTTAAGCATATGGAGTGATGCTGTGTTTTTGCTTCTCATTTGTTTGTTTCTTTGTCTGTTGTAGTACTCCAGGGGTATACCATTCCTAAAGGCACAATGGTTTTACCTAACTTGTGGTCGATACACAGAGACCCAGCCATTTGGGAGAAACCAGATGATTTCTATCCTAATCGCTTTCTGGATGACCAAGGACAACTTATAAAAAAAGAAACCTTTATTCCTTTTGGCATAGGTTGGTTAAACCTTTGTGTGTGGCAGTGTGTGTGGGGGGGGGGTGGTGATTTTTTAATGGCATCATTTTTTAAATGAAGCAGAATTAGATGTTGGGGCGTAGTTCAGTGGCAGAGTGCTTGCCTCACATGCATGAAGCCCTGGGTTTGATCCCCAGCAGTACAAAACCTACATTGGGTAAATCTCATCTTTATGACAAGAGATTTTCCTTTCCACATAACCTAGGTTCCAATTGGGCCCCAGGGAACTAGAGTTAAGAACAATTTCTGGAATTGCACAAGGGTGGCTCATACCTGTAACCCTAGCCACCCAGGAGGTTGAGATCTAAGGATTGAGGTTCAAAGCCAGCCCAGGAAAGAAAGTCTGTAAGACTCTTATCTCCAGTAAACTACCAGAAAGGCCAGAAGTGGAGCTGTGGCTCAAGAATACTATACTCAAGCAAAAGAAGCTGAAAGATAGTACCTAGATCCTGCATTCAAGCCCAGGACTGACAAAAAGAATACTTTCTGATTATCTGCTAGGCTGGTAAGAAAGGTTCTCTGATCATGATATCCTTACATTAGGACACATGAAATTTTTTCTGGCGAAGCTCCAGAGGCCCTGATCTAACTTTTAGTCCTAAGTGACTGAAAAGGAGTGAGTAGTCATGACATGATTGCTGACTTTTAGTTCCTAGGTAGATGAGGACAGGCTTTTAAAGTTGGCATAAAAATGTGTAAAAATTCTCATGGACATATATTGTAAGAGACTCTGTATTTTTAAGGGAATATTCAAGTTAGATATCTCATATAAATGTATTCTCTTTTTTTTGGTCAGTGGTGGGGCTTGAACTCTGGGCCTGGGCGCTGTCCCTCAGCTCTTCGGCTGAAGGCTAGCACTCTACCACTTGATCCACAGTGCCACTTCTCATTTTCTGAGTGGTTTGTTGGAGATAAGAGTCTCATAGACTTTCTTGCCTGGGCTGGCTTTGAACCACGATCCTCAGATCTCAGCCTCCTCAGTAGCTAGGATTACAGGTGTGAACCACTGGCGCCCAGCTTAAATGTGTTCATTTTTGAAGTAGATAAAGGAATGGTACTGTAACATTTTTTTTTCCTATCTCACTTTCAGGCAAGCGGGTATGTATGGGAGAGCAACTGGCAAAGATGGAATTATTCCTGATGTTTGTAAGCCTGATGCAGAGTTTCACTTTTGCTTTAGCTGAGGGTTCCAAGCCCACCTTGACTGGAAGATTTGGTCTAACTTTAGCCCCACATCCTTTTAATATAACCATCTCAAAGAGATGAAGAGCACCTCCAAGAAAAGAAGGTAAATCAGCTAAATAAATGTCCTTCTAAGCAGATGTTTCTGACTGCCAATGACCGTGGGTGTGACACCTCAGCCCATCCAAGGTTGGCTGACGATGGCAAGTGGGAAGAACAAAGATAGAGCAAGTGTGCATATGGGAGGCTCCCCAATGAGCCAGCTCAGCTACGCAAGGCATGCACGTGAGGGATGTGGCACTCTCCAGGAAGCAGAACTCTGCATTTAGCTGCAGTGGTTCCCAACAAGGGGCAGGCCTTCTGTCCTCTCAGAGACTCTGTCCTCCTGTGGTAAAATGGGGGTGTGGAAACTTGCCTTCTCCTTTTCTCTCAGCACTGAGGAAGGGCAGGTGCCATAAAACATCCAATGTTATCAAAAAATCAGAAGCAGAAGATCATCTGGCTCTGGTTGTGTGTGTGTGTGTGTGTGTGTGTGTGTGTGTGTGTGTATGTATACAGGACTAGGGCTTCAACTAAAGACTTCACACTTATGTTTAACTTTTTCACTCAAGGCTGGCATTCTATCACTAATGCCACAGCTGCACTTCCAGCCAGCAGGTGAACCAGGTGTTAGTGGCTTAAGCCTATAAGCCTAGCTACTTAGGAGGCTGAGATCTCAGGATCACTGCTCAAAGCCAGCCTGGGCTGAAAAGTCCCCATAAGACTCTTATCTCCAATTAAACACCAGAAAAACTGGAGGTGGAGTTTTGGCTCAATCTGGTAGAGCACTAGCCTTGAGCAAAAGAGCTCAAGGATAGTGGCCAGGCCCCAAATTCAAGCCTCACAACTGACAGTTAATTAATTAGTAAAAGCAGGCAGTTTGTTTGGTAATGTCACTTTAATGCAGTTTTTAAAAAGTGGATAGACATCATTTAAAGCTTTTTCTTTGTGCTGGTACTGAGGCTTGAACTCAGGGAATGGGCACTGTCTCTTAAGGTTCATGCTCAAGGTTGGGACTTTACCATTTGAGCCACAGCTCATGCTTTACCTTTTGCTGGTTAATTAGAAGTAATAATGTCATGGATTTTCTTGCCTGGGCTGACTTTGAACCTCAATCCTCAGATCTCAGCCTCCCGAGTAGCTAGGATTACAGGCATGAGCCACCAGCGCCTCTTTAAAGCGATCATTTTAAAGAAATGTAGAATGGTGCCTTAGCTGTTTAAGCATAACATGGAATGTAAGCTTCTTGCAGCTGCAAATCAGGCCGTAACCAAGAGCCTTGGACTCACTTGCATAAGGGAGGAAGGGCCTCCTGCTGCTGCTCCTGATAGAGGAAAGAAACAGGGTAAGGAAAGATCCAGTGGTCTTTGAGAATTATTGAAAAGGGGAAGCACAGAACTTGAACACTTTGAAAAGAAGGATCTCCTATGACTCACTGTGCTTGCTGTTTTACACACCTCACAGACACCACATCTCTCCTTCTGATTTCCTTCTCTGTCATCACACCTGGGCAGTTAACTGTTCTTAGCCCATGATGGCACTCCAGGCCAGTTCTGAATGTGACACTACATTTCTTCTTATTTTTTGGATTGGGCACATTCCTAGGCAGAAGGTGGAAGGGGAGAGAATAACTGCTTAGTAAAATACTAAGGAAAAAGAAAAAGGATGAAATATCATGGGATCAAGTATTGATTTGTTTTTGACCCTGCATTCTGTTCTGATCAAGGCTGACATTCTACCACATGACCCACAGCTCCACTTCTAGCTTTTCACTGATTAACTAGAAATGAGAATCTCATGGACTTTTCTGCCTGGGCTGGCTTTGAACCACAATCCTCAGATCTCTGTCTCCTAAGTAACTCTGATTACAAGCATAAGCCACCACTGCTACTCTAAGGTTGCCTGTAGCTCTATCTTCTCTTTTTCCTGCATGAAGAAGAGAATAGAAACTTCTGGAATTCACTGGGTTATTGGCTACTCCTCTTTTTCTGATGGCCCCTGGCATGTAAGTAAATCTGTAGCTTTCTCTCCTGTTAACCTGTCAATTGCCCGTTTATTCTAGCAGACCTAAAATCTCAAAACCTTCAGGAGAGAATGTTGAGATTACCTCTGCCTCCCTACACCCTTCCCTTCGCAGCTCACGAAAGCAGTTTTTAATACCTCAACCTTTTTTTTTTCCCTGTGGATGAGACCCATGAGCTTTTGCCATAAGATACCCAAAGGTTACTTCAGGGTAGACTTCCACCCTATACCTGTCTCAGGTGGCCTTTTCTGACAATTACTTGTTCTTGTCACCAGTTTATTTCCTTGTGAGCTCTCATGCCTCACTGTTTATTGAGACTCTGTGTCTACCTTCTTTCCCGCCTCCAGCCCAAAAGGAAACAAGAGATTGGCTGTGTCTCATCTCTTACCAGATCAGAGGCTTCGCATAGAGCAGGAGTTCAGGGAATTTGCTGCATGAATGAAGTATTAATTGGGTGTGCAGGAAGGTGATTGGTATTGTGGCTAGAGAGGGGAAAAACTCTATTTTTCTGCCTCCGGCCTCACTGATTGACTGTCACTATAAAGTATGAATTTCAGTTAGAATATCCATTGTGATAGAAGGGTATCCAAGAAATGTAATACTTTGGCACCCTCAAATCTGCTTCACTATTCCATGGTGGTTTTAGAAACCAAATTCATTCAAGTGGGCTATTTGTTCAAGTGCTTAAACTTATGGAGCGATTACCATTATTTTAAATATATTTGGGCTGAGAATGAGGCTTAGTGATAGAGTGCTTGCCTAGCATACATGAAGCCCTGGGTTTGATTCCTCAGTACCACATACACAGAACAAGCCAGAAGTGGTGCTGTGGCTTAAGTGATAGAATGCTAGCCTTGAGCAAAAGAAGCTCAGGGACAGTGCCCAGGTCCAGAGTTCAAGCCCCAGGACTGGCAAAAGTAAAAATAAATAAATTCACATTAAACATGAAGATTTGAGGGCTTATCATCTTTCATGAAAGGATAGGTTCATTAAACAACCACAGAATTTGTTTATTTGGTCAAGGATTCCATGCCCAAGAATCTTTGGTTCAGTCACAGGCAACATTATCAACAGAATAGTCTAGATACTTCATATATCACAAAATAGTTGCAGGACTTAGCAGATCCTTGAAAGAAAATTTTTATAAGGAATTCTTGATAAATGTCTTTGAAATAACCTTGTTTTTTTTTTTATTATTAACGTCTGGTATTAAAACATCCAGAGTAAGTGACTTGGAGCCTCCATTGAGAATTTGGATCTTCATATTCTTTTTGCGTATGTGTGCCAGTACTGGGGCTTGAACTCATGTCCTGGGTGCTAACCCTGAGCTCTTTTGCTCAAGTCTAGCAATCTACCACTTGAGCCATTGCTTCACTTCTGGGGTTTTGTGATTCATTGGAGAGGAGTCTTACTGACTTTCCTGCCTGGTCTGTCTTTGAACCTCAATCCTCAGATCTCAGCCTTCTGAGTGGCTAGAATTATGGGCACGAGTCACTGGCACCCTGCATATCTTCCTGTTCTTTAAGGACATAAACTACTCTATGATTTTAGTGGAATTTTAAATTTAGGGTGTTTTTTTTTAAATTTGAGGGCAGTGTGTGTGTGCGCACACATGCACGCACGCACGTGCACGCACAGGTCTTGGGGCTTGAACTCAGGGTCTGGGCATTTGTCCCTGAGCTTTCTTACTCAAAGTTAGCATTCTACTACTTGAGCCACAGCTCCACTTCTGTTTTATTGGTAGCTAGTTGGAGATAAGAGTCTCACAGGGCTGGGAAGGTGGCTCAGTGGTAGAGCACTTGCCTTGCATGCTCAAGGCCCTGGGTTCGATTCCTCAGCACCACATAAGCAAAAAGAAAAAAGCCGGAAGTGGCGCTGTGGCTCAAGTGGTAGAGCGCTAGCCTTGAACTGAAGAGCTGAGGGACAGTGCCCAGGCCCAGAGTTCAGGCCCCACGACCGGACCAAAAAAAAAAAAAAAAGAGTCTCACAAACTTTCTTGCCCAGGTTGGCTTCAAACTGAGATCCTCAGCTCTCCCCCTCCTGAGTAGCTAGGATTACAGGCATGAGCCTCGGGTACCCAGCTAGGGACTCTTTAAATAAGCATGTCAATGTCTGTAATGGAACTATACTTGGTCATCATGATATGCATAATAGCTCTCCAGCTTGTTGAAATCCCCAAAGCTTGGTTTGACGCCCTTTAAGATAGTGTGTCCTGGCTCCCCACTGTGGGACCTGAGTCCAGTTCTGTTATATAACAAGTATTCCGTTTTCCAAGTTGCCCGGATGTGCCTCCCAGAACACAAGAACCTCTGTCCTCACTCACCTACTAGTCTCATGAGGCTCTGATAAGGAAGAGGCTCGTGTTATGTAAAGAGGCATGCTTGCATTTTTCTTTACATATAACTCTTATCTGATTGGATTTTCAGGAAATGAATTACACTGGTATATAGCCAGCCAGTACTCAAATCAAGAATGACCATAATCAGAGACCATGAAACCTGTGGAGCCACACTCTCTAGTTTCTGAAGCTCCAGTGGGGAAGATTCTTAACCAGAAATCTCAAGCTGGTTGTAGAAAAGAAAACATTGAGAGATGTTAATAGCAAATTAATATCAAGTTAATATCAATGAAGGTTGGGTTCTTGTGTACAAGTTCAAACCAAAGATGTAAATTCTTTGCACTGAACATGAACATCCTGTGATTATTTACAATAACCAGAATTAATTTTTCAGCACACACTTGCTTGTACATTTTGGACTCTGCTGTTGTACCAGCCATAGCTCGATTTTCAGCCATAGGAAATTTTTTTTAATTGCTCAATAAAATGAGACGACACAGCCTTAAGCTTTCACTCATTCTTCAGAGAGCTAGGAATCATTAATTTCCCACAAATAGAAGGAAGATTCCAATTTACTCATTGTCTCTATCGCCGTTCATACTTTTGGATGTTAGGAAATCTGAGCTGGGTCTAGAGCCCATGGCCCTTTCTGTCAACAAATAATGTTTCTTTGATTGCAATTATCCATAAATGGGACAAAAATAAAAGCAGTGATTACTTACTCTGTTTCTGTGCCAGCTTTTTTCTCTTTTGCCAAAGTTGCCTACTTTCTCTGAGATGGTTCAGTGACCAAAGTCATACTTACTAGTGCTAAACTCTGCAGAGAGAAATGAAGTCTAACTACTAGAATAAGATGAGGGTAAGAATTAGAGGCCTCACGGTTTGTGATCACAGGGGACAATGATCCTATTCTAACTGTCCTGTGACTGATAATAGGAAGGAGGAGGGGCCACAGTGGCCCTCCTGTTTCTGAAGACTACAAACAAAATGAAATTCTCATTATCAAATAGCTGGAAAGTTATTTGTTAGACCATTTCTTTTGACAGATGAAGATATTAGAGCCAACGAGGGTGTTCAAAGAAAGTCATGTAGCACACTAGTGACTTCTCCAGGACTCTCCAATTTCCCCTTCCCTCCTCTCCCCTTCTTTCCTACCTTCCCTCCCTCCCAACTCTCCTTCCTCTCCACTCTTTCTACCCTTCTCCCCTCCCTCCCTTCTTTCCTTCCTCCTTTTCTCCCTTCCCTTTTCCTTGTTTTGAGGTAAAGTCTTACTGTTTAGCCCATGTTCACTTGAAACTCATGATCTTTCTGCCTCTTTTTCTTCCATCTTTACATACTGCTAAGTGACCTCAGATTTGAAAATCACTAGGAAATACTGCAGTGGTGATACAGACTGACTGTGTCCCCTCAGATTCATATGTTGAAACCCAATGTGAGAATATTTGGAGGTGGGCTTTTGAGAGGTGATTAGGTAATGACGATAGTCACTTACAAATGGAATTCATACCTCCTATGGAAGAGACCCTACAAAGTTTAATTGCTCCTACCAACGTGAGGTTACAATGAAAAGGAGCAATCTATGGGACAGTGAACAGGCCATCATTAAACACTGAGTCTGTTAGTATCTTGAGTTGGGACTTCTGTGCGTACAGAACTGTGGGAAATAAGTTCTTATTTTTTATAAGACACTCAATTTATAGTGCTTTGTTATAGCAGCTTAAATGAGCTAAGGTAAGTGGTTAATCCTTTTTTCCTAAGAAAAAGAAAAATCTACAAGTTGTCATGTCCAAAACGAGCTTTCCAACGTCGGTGGGGGGGGGGGTAAAGGGAGGGGAAGGAGAAGGATTGGGATTGGGGAGGAGGGGGGAGGCTGGGAAGGGATGTGAAGGGTAAACAAAGGAGGAGGCTGCAATGCTTGGTAAGAAATGTACATTATCCTGCCCATGTAATTGTAACTCCTCTGTACAGCATGTTCACAAATAAAATAAAATTTAAAAAAAAAGAAAAAGAAAAATCTGAGAATGCACCCCACTTAGATATCCTATTGTATATTACACACGTTTCTTTTTAAATTTTTTATATGCCAGTCTCAGGACCTGAGCTTGCCCCTGAACTTTTTTTTTTGCTCAAGTTAAGCACTATTTGAGCCACAGCTTCATTTCTGGCTTTTTTGGGTAGCTAATTGGAGATAGAGTCTCATAGACTTTACTTCCCTGGGCTGGTTTTGAATCCTGATCCCCAGATCAGTAGTCAGGATTACAGGCATGATTTAAATTTATAATTTTTTTCTTTTGGTCGGCCGTGGGGCTTGAACTCTGGGCCTGGGAGCTGTCCCTCAGCTCTTCAGCTCAAGGCTAGCACTCTACCACTTGAGCCACTGAGCCACTCCCGGTGGTTTATTGGAGATAAGAGTTTCACAGCCTTTTCTGCCCGGGCTGGCTTTGAACCAGGATCCTCAGATCTCAGCTTCCTGAGTAGCTAGGATTACAGGTGTGAGCCAAAGGCGCCCGGCTTCCATGGATAAATTTTTATGTTACTAAGATACAACAAATACAAAGTATTCACATAAGATTGGCCAAGTCTCCCAATGATTTGAGATTCCTTTTCTACTCTGTCTAGTATGATCAGTTTCTCCCCAAAGTGTACACTCTGAAGCTATCCACGAGTTCGCTGCCTTGCCCCAATGCAGTGTTGAAACAGCAAGGTCAGGTCTCCCCTGCCTGATCTCTGCGTTGGAGCGTACGGTCTTTCGTTCGGTGCGATCGCAGCTAAATTTCCTTCCTCTGGACGCAGAACTGGGCGCCACGACCCCGACGTGGGCCCCACGGACCCAGCAAATCCTCCTCCCAGCCCGGGAGCGGTGGGCGGGGCCGACCTCGAATCCCCGCCCCTCGGTGACGTCACGGCCGCGGAGGCTCCGCCCCCAGAGGTCACTCGCCTTGGGGTGCCCGCACCGCGGCCTCCACCGCCGCCGCTGACTTCCTCGTCGGGCTCGGCCGCCGCCGCCGGCTCGGTCCTCGCCACACCATGGCTTTCGTCACCAGGCAGTTCGTGCGCTCCATCTCCTCCTCGTCCTCCGCGTCGGCCTCGGCCAAGAAGATCATGGTCAAGCACGTGACGGTCATCGGCGGCGGGCTGATGGGCGCCGGCATCGCGCAGGTGAGCGCGGCCCGGGGCGGCAGGCCGGGTGCAGGACCCGGATGCCCGCGGGGACGGGGGGCGCTGCGGCCCGAAGGGTCGAAATACCTTGCACAGCCTCCTCCCCACCCTCAAAGTGCGGGGTCCTCCACCCGGTCCGGCTTTTCTCCATGTCTGAAGCTCCAGCCGCGCCCGGGGCCCGAGGACGGGTCGGAGGGGGGGGACAGGGCCCCGGGGGGAGGGGTCCCGGGGAGGGACGGCGTCGGAGGGGGGGGGACGGCGTCCCGGGGGCCCGCCGCGCACCACGTGGAGGCGGGTCGTGTGGCTCCTGCCCGGTGCAAGCCTCTGTCCCTCTGTCCCTCTGTCCCTCTGTCCCACCGTCCGACCTCCCCACCCCTCTAATTCTATAGTCGTAAGTCGTTGTCAGAAGTTTTCTTAAACCCCCCTATTTCCCGAATTTCCCGGGTTGTGAAGAGTAAAGGCCGTCATCACTGTTGTCAGACTTTTAAAAGTCACCTACACGGAGCCCGCTTAGTCCCTGGCCCTCCGCCCAGGGCGGCTGGAGGCGACTTTGCCCTTTGACCCAGTACCCCGGGTGCCAGCAATCCTGCCGTCCCCGCCGTCCCCGACCTCGGAGCCCGCGTGGGAGGAGGAGGATGACGCCGCCCCGGGGCCGCTGTAGAAATCTGTCCTCTTGCAGCTCGAGAACCCTGCCCCGTGCCAACTGAGCTAGGGGTCAGGGACAGCTGTGCAGTTGATCACTCGAGTACTGCCATGCTGTGTGTTGATTGTTAGGTTGCACTCTTGCTCGGGTTGGAGAACCATGCTATGGTTTTGTTTTTTGGGGTGGGGAGGCAGTCCTGGGGCTTGAACTCAGGGCCTGGGCGCTACCCCGATCTCTTTTGCTCCAGGCTAGCGTTCTGCCACTTGAGCCACAGTGCTACTTTTTTTTTTTTCTGAGTAATTTCTTGGAGATAAAGAGTCTCAGGGGCTTTCCCGTCCGAGCTGGATTGGGACCATGAGATCTCAGCCTCCTGAGTAGCTAGGAATACAAGCATGAGCCACCAGAGCCATGTTTTTGTTTTTGTTTTTTGTTTTTATATCCTAGCTGATTATACTCCTAGCTCTTTGGAACTAGATTCCTCCCCCACCCTTTCTTTCTTTTTGGAGGAGGATGTGGGACACTTCTCTTCACCTAAATTTTCCCAAGTGGGCCTGGGAATGGGTTTTACCCTCACGACAGTAGCTATAGTCATGAAAGTTTTGTGCATTTTTTATCTTTTTCAATCAAGTCCACATTCCCATGCTTGCTTTGAAAAAAAATATTATTGTTATTGTATCTTAAATTTCACCTCCCACAATTTGTTTTGCAACATATTAATTTGATTGCATTGTGTGAGTATGTGTGTGTGTGTGTGTGCACGCACGTATGCACATGCATACATGCCAGTACTGAACCTTGAACTCAAGGTCTGGGTACTGTCCCTGAACGTTTTCACTCAAAACTAGTGCTCTACTACTTGAGTTACAGCTCCACTTCTGGCTTTTTAGTGGTGAGAGTCTCTTGAGTCACTTTCCAGCCTGGGCTGGCTTCAAACTATATAATCCTCAGCTCTCAGCCTCCTGAATAGGTATGATTACAGATATGAGCCACCAGTACCTGGCTTAATTTGATTGATTTCATCCCCAAGTGGGTATTTCTGTAATATTTTTCCTTGTAGCTTCTTACTGTGTCACATCTCTTTTGCAATCACGCTTTTCTTTTTGACATTACCCTTTTCTGAGAAGGCCCCGCCTGCTGTTCTAGAGTCCTCATAAGCCATATTATAGGTGAGAGAGAAGGAGTAGTAAGTACTTCAACATACAAGTTTTACACATATGGGAGTCTGTGTAGGAGTGCACCTGTGACCCTCTACCCCAACACTGTGCTTAGTATATGCTGGGCAGTGGTAAGAGCTGAGTGTCCTCTGCCTGTAATGATCAACATCTTCATTGTAGCTCTCCTCTCTTGTTGCCCTTTTGCCTCTTATCTGCTTTCTTACCTAGTCTTTGTTGCTGAGGTAAGTCCTTAATGTTTAGGTGTAAAGTATTGATCGTCAGTGCCTGCTTTGTCTTTAGTAACTTTTACTGTAAATGTCAGCTGATATCAGTATATTTATTCAGAGTCCATTGAAAAGAGGAAGGATGTCTTTCATTTTATTAGTAAATAAGCCATGAAAGCACAGACAGGAATTAGCATCTAGTTTATTCAACGAATTCCCATTTAGCTTCATCTTCCTGGAGCCTTCTGAAGTCGTTTTAATCAGAAGGTAGTTCTGTGTACAATTTTCATTTATCATCTTCAGCGTATGTTCCAGTTTGTTCTGGGCAAGATGAAAAAAGTAAATAGATTTTTGTAGCTGCCAAATGCATTTTTCAAGCAATTAAGCAAATTTTGACAAGTGAGGGCTGTAGTTAATTTTATGTGAACAAGAGTTCAGGCTATTAGTACATGTGTACTTTTCAAAAGTATCTCCTTTGCCTGTTGTTTTCCTTTCTTTTTTTGAATTTTAAAATCCCTTAGGCTGCAGGTTAATATTTAAG